TCGATTATTATTAATAGTTGTAGTAGTTATTATATAAAAATCTCAAAGTAAATAAAAATTTTAATAAAAACAATTTAAACAAGTGATGAATGAAAATGTATTAAAAAGGTTAAAAATGTGTGGATGTTGTGGGTTTTTTTTACTTTTTTTTATTAGTGAGTGGTGTTGTGATTTGAATCTATTAATTATAAAAAAATTGAAATGTTTTCTTTTTATTAATGTTTTTTTTATAAAAACTATTTATAAAGTCTTTTTTTTTTTTTTTTTTAAACAATAGTTTTTTTTTGTGATTAAAATGATTATTTAATATAACAATCCAATATAAAATTTACAAACTGACTAAATAAAACAAAAATTTATACACTTTTTCTATAGATTGAAAGATATATTAAGAAAAAAAAGGGTAGAAACATTAAATTAATGAATTCGATAATAAATTTTGTAAATAGAATCAAAAACTAAAAAAAAAAACTAATATTAATTAAAATATTAATTAATTTTATTCACACAAATATCCACAATACTAATATAAAAATATAAAATATACATACACAGGGAATTTTATATATGAGATTCTTGAATAAAATATACAATATCTTGTTGTTTCTTTAGTTAGATCATTTGTTTTATAGAGGAAAAATAATCGAATTTTTTTTTTTTTTTTTTTTAAATATAATATTAATTTATATATATTAAAATTAAAATAATTATAATTTTAAATTAAAATTAATTATAATTTTTTTTTTAATTCAATTGTAGTGTTTTTGAATGTATATAATTATTTTTAAAATATCACACAAACCCCCATTTTAATATAACATTATACCTAATTGATTTTTAAATTATTAATTTTTATTTTTACCCCCCCCCTTAAAAAAATACTGTTCTTTAGTTGTATAAAATATATCACATTAGAGTATTATCCTAAAATAGGAGATGAGATGTTAATAAATATCATAAATATTCTTAATAATATTTTTAAAAAAGTAAAAAAAAAAAAAAAAAAATGATTATTATAATAATTATTTATTGGTTGAACTTCATCAAATAATTAATCATTAATAGTTATCTAATTTTAAATCTCCCTCATTATCACCCCTCAATTATTTTATTTTTTCCTCTTTTTCCCCTTTTTGGGGTTATTTTTTTTTATAGGCACCACAAATTGTGATTGTTTCAGTTAAATCAATAAAATAATGTATTAAACAATAATAATAATAACTCGATAAAAAGTAAAATTTACATCAAATCCTCTTTATTCTTGAACCATTCATTTTAATACTACATTATTTCTATATTTGGGTAATGGTATTAAAAAAAAGAGAGAAAATGAAATAGAAAAGTAATAATATAAAAAAAATAAAAAAAAATTCAAAAAAAATAAAATTTATTTTTATTTATTTTTATTTTTATTATTTTTTTTTTTTAATTTTAAAAAAATAATTATTTTACTTGTTTAGTTAATATTATTTTTTGCTTTTAATAAATATTTTATCATATTTTATAATAGATTAATATATACATTCATATTTATTTAAATATATACAAACACAACACACACACAACACACAAACACAAACACCAAAAAAAAAAAGTTATACATTTGCCTTTTTAATCATTCGTTTGTATATCTCTTTCAAACACCCTACCACACAACAATAAAGTAATAGTTTAAAATATTTTTCTTAAGAATGGGTGCATCTTTATGTTATCCATCAGACAAAACATATTCAGTAAATGGAGCGAAATATACAGTTAATAGGGTTTTAGGAGAGGGTGGATTTTCTTTTGTATATTTAGTTAAAGGTAATTATAAATCCATATAATATATATTTATTTTTCAATCATTTTTAATAAATAGTCATTATTATTATATCATCATCATTTTTTAATAGGATTAAAAAGGAAACAATGAATAAATAAAATGGTATTCTAAATTTGTTGTTGGTTATATTATAAAATAGATGTTTTTATGATGATATTATTGTATCTATCTCCTTTTTATGTTGTTGTTGTTGTTGTTTTAATGTGTAGTGGTTTAGTTTTATTTCAAAAATGGTTTACAAGTGTAATTTACAATTTTCTTTTTTTATATACTTTATTATTTTGTAAATTACTTATTTCTTTTTTTTAATATCAAATAGATTCAAATTCAAGAAAATATGCATTAAAAGTTATGATTTGTCAAACAAATGAATCAATAAATGTAAGTATCCATCCAGATAATTAATTATTTTTATATTAAAAACTCCTCTTTAACAATTTTATTTTTTTTTATTTAATTTTATTTTTTAGACAGCAAAAAGAGAAATAAATATATTTAAAACATTTAATCATCCTAATATTATGAAATTGGTTGATCACTCATCATCACAATATAGTCAAGATGGAAAGCAGTATTTATTGTTACTTCCATATTATAAGGTATGCTAAAATAATTTATACTTAATTGTTTAATTTTAAATTTTTTATTTTATTAACTTAAAATTTTTAAATTTTTAAATTTATAGGATGGGTCATTACAGGATTTAATAGATAATCAAAGAATTGTGCATGGTAAACACACAACCAAGCCTTTATTTGACGAAAAAACTCTATTAATATTCTTTAAGAAAATTTGTGAAGCTATTCAGGTATTTCATACCCACGAACCACCATTAGCACATAGAGATATTAAACCAGGCAATATATTATTAGCCAATTCAAACGATGGGATTTTGAACCCTATTTTAACGGATTTTGGGTCTGTAAAAGAAGCAAGAATAAAAATTTCAAATAGAAAAGAAGCATTATCGTTTCAAGATGAGGTAGAACAAAATACAACACCATTTTACAAAGCACCAGAATTATTTGATATAGCGAGTGACTGTGTCATTGATGAAAGAATTGATGTATGGTCATTAGGTTGTCTTTTATACACTGCAGCCTACAATAGATCTCCATTTGAGGTTTCTGATGACGAACCTTCAGGAAGTGTCGCTCTTAAAGTATTAAGTGGTTTACCCTCGCCATTTCCTTCAACAAACTATTCAAACGAATTTAATCAATTAATACGTAACATGGTAAATTTAAACAAAGATGATAGACTACATATAAATCAAATAATTACGGAAATAGAAAATATATTATCAAAAAATTAATACAGTAATAAAGCTATATAAAAACTTTATATAACTATAGTTAATTATTTTTATTTTTCTTTTTTCTTTTTTTTATTTTTTGTTCCTGTTTTAATTAGTTTGATATTGTAAATTTGTTTGAGGATCAATATAAAAGTGTTGTGACGGGTTATTATATTTATAGTATTGAATTTGATCAGATTGGTGATTATTTGTTGCTATTGGTTGTGTTAAATGGGATGAGTTATTATTATAATTAATTAGATTTGGTTGTGATATCATTTGTTGAGCTTGTGATGAGGTATTTTGCATTGAATAGCTCGAATAATATTGGTTTGAATGAGAGTTTTGATTATATGATTGATAAACTGGTTTTGCTTGGGCTTGTTGAATAGTTGACATTTGTTGTTGATGTACCATTGTGGAGCCACTTATATTTGAAGATTGTGTGTTCATACTATTTTGATTATTGATATTGTTAATATTATTGCTATTATTATTGTTATTATTGCTAGAAGAATATCCTTCTGTTAAATTTAAATTTGATAAACCATTTCCAATTGGACTATTGGAGTTGGGTGATGAAGTTAAATTTGGAGCACTTGTGGAGGATACAGTGGCAGGATAATAAATATAACTAGCTCCAGAATCTAAATAAGATGATGTCGATGATACTGGTACAACATGATATTCATGATCATTCCCACTAATTGTGCTATACCCAGCTGGAGTACTCGGGTTTTGAACATTAATCGATGAGGGGTTGGGTATAGAGTAAATAGGACTGTGTTGATTTGATGTCATACTTCTATTAGCATAGTCATAGTTGGCTATTGGTGAGCTTCCAGTGTCAATACCACTATATATTTGCTCATTGGGGGTAGCTGAAGTTGTTGTTCCACAGAATCTTCCATAATGATCAATATTGACATCAATACCTCCATTGTTATTTAAAATCGGCTTATAGGGAATCGAGGTACCATTCATTGGAGTATATAAGAGTCCATTAACGGAGTTGCTTCGTTTTTTTATATTATAAAGATTCGATGAAATATTTTGAAAACTTCTTTTTAATGGTGAGTTAGGAACTACTGAAGGAGATGATGGGTGATTTATATTATTGTTGATATTTATTTGGCTATTTGAAAAAACCAAATTTTGGTTGGTATTATTACAATAGTTTGAATTATAACTATAGGGCAAAATTTCATTATTATTTTTTAAACCTTTGTTCATATTATTGTTATTATTGGTACTACTATTACTTATATTATTGCTAATATTATTATTGTTATTGTTAATATTGTTATTATTGTTTTTATTATTGTTAATATTGTTATTATTATTATTATTATTATTACTATTACTATTATTATTATTGTTGGTGCTGTTAATATTATTACCATTATGGCCAATACCATTATTAATACTATTGTTATTGTTATTATTATTATTATTATTATTATTATTATTATTATTTATATTAAAGTTAATCGATGAGGATATTGGTGATAATGATGATGGGGAAGATGATGGTGGGTTAGAATATACATTTGATGTGCCAGTATAGTTATTACTATTGTTTATTTTGTTTCCATTCGGGTTCATTGAATTTGTTGTAATATTATTGGCTATTTGATATGGGGTAAATTCAACAGAATATCTTTTAAGATTATTTTTATTATTTAAATCGACTAATTGAACAAGAGGAGGTGTAGGTGGTTGATAAATTTGTGAAGATGTAACAGATGGTGTTTGTAATGGAGTAGTGGATGAGGAATTAACAGAAGAAGAATTTGATACCCTGGACGCCAAGAATGGAGGAGTTGATACCTCCGAAGATTGATTAATACAAGCATTACTTGAATTTGTACTATTTGAGATAATTGATGATATTGTCGAAATCGGGTTATTAATAGATGGATTATTTGAGAGGAAATTTAAAATGGGTGATTTAACAATAGATGATTGAGATGGTTGATTTTTATTATTCTTTAAAACATTGTTATTGGGGTTAGGAATAGAATTATTGTTCACATTATTATGATCATTATTCTTGTGCTCTTTATGGTTAGGGCTTGGGGTATTTGAATTATGGCCACTAGACGTGCTGCAACAACTATTTGAATTGTGATTTATATTACCACTATTGCTATTGCTATTGTTATTGTTACTATTATTACCATTTAATGTTTGAGGATTTTTAATTTTTTTTTCCCTTTTTTTTCTAGGTAAATCATAACAAGTCTGACCTATTTCTTGCTTTACACATCTTGTGCAAGGCCTTTGTTGGTCACAAGCAACTTTGGAGTTTCGACAATTTAAACAAGCTCTTCTTACTCTTTTTATCATTTTCACTAGATTATTATTAAATAATAAATAAAAATTAATTAATAAACTATTGGTTTCTCTATTTAGAAAAAAAAAAAAACAACATTCCAACAAATAAAAACAACGGATATTTATTAATGTTTTTTATTTTTTATAATTGATTATTTAGAGATCAATAAAACTACTGTTATTATTATTATTTTTATTAAAGTTTGGTTTAATAAAATACTGAAATGTGCGGCTTTCTATTAAACAAAAAATTTAATAATAATGAACTAAAAAAAATTGTTGGAAACAATAATGTTTTTTTTTTTTGAAAAATTTTTACCCCAGAATATTCTGTATGGCACTGAAAACAATTTAAAAAAATTTAATTTTTGAAATCTGGTTTTGAGACTTTTTTTTTTTTTGGGGGTATAATATTTATGGGTGGTTTTATTCTTGAATTTATATATAATTAAAAATGGCACCGATTTAATAGTTTAATC